AAGCATAAAATTGATGCTTGGGCTTAAGTGGTTATGAATGTTCATGTTACCTCAGGTCTGATCTGGGCAAGGGGTTGAAGGGAAGAGTCAAATTGCCATACTCTACAGGAGCTCAAAGGCTGGTGCAGAGAAGGCTGGGTAAACACACCACTCCACTTCACGTAAGAACAGTACTATAATAGGTGTGCACAGGTGCTACGGGCACGCACAGGATGGGTACCTAACCTTACCCAGGGGATCTGAGCTGAGGTTTTTTTTTTGACCACCTCTTGTCAGCTCAGGCCGAAGCTGAGAAAGGGAACCTCTGGACAGAGGGAGCTCAGATATCCTTGACCACAAACATCCTGACCTGATTTAGCAAGTGGCCTGGCTTCCCCTGGTGGCCCAGGAGCATCTTGCCTGAGTTTGGGTGACCTAAGCCCGGTTTTGCTGGGTCTGTTCACCCTGATGATCTAACCACAGAGGTTTTGGGATCTGGAGTTAACAGAGACCAGGCTCTGACCCCTCCTCTCCATTTCCTCTCTATCAAGGAAATATCTTCTCTAACATGAAGACATCTGGTCTCCATATGTAGCATCTTTCTTATAAAATGTCCCTCATTTCTCTTTTCTTTCTGTTTTATTTATTTATTTATTTTTTGAGATGGGATGTCTCTTTGCTGCCAGGCTGGAGTGCAGTGGTGCAATCATAGCTCACTGTAGCCTCAAACTCCTTAGCTTAAGTGATCCTCCCACCTCAGCCTCCCAAGTAGCTAGGACTATAGGTGTGTGTGCCACCACACTCAGCTTAAAACTTCCCTCATTTCTTACTGTTCTGGTGGCTTCAGCTTTAAGAATGGCAAATGCCTTTTTTGTTTCCTAACTAAAAATGTAGTACACGTGTGATGAAGAAAAGGCAAGCCGGTGCGGTGGCTCACACCTGTAATCCCAGCACTTTGGGGGGCCAAGGCAGGTGGATCACTGATTTGAGGTCAGAACTTTGAGACCAGTGAAACCCCATCTCTAGTAAAAATACAAAAAATTAGCTAGGTGTGGTGGCACATACCTGTAATCTCAGCTACTCGAGAGGCTGAGGCAGGAGAATTGCTTGAACCAGGGAGTCGGAGGTTGCGGTGAGCTGAGATCGCACCACTGCACTTCAGCCTGGTGACAGAACAAGACTCCATCTCTCTTGTTTTTTGTTGTTGTTGTTGTTTTAGAACAAAGTAGACACTTGGCATTCAATTTTTTTTTTTTAAAGAGACGGGGTTTCACCATGTTGGCAGGCTGGTCTCAAACTCCTAACCTCAGGTAATCTACTCCTAACCTCAGGTGATCTACCTGCCTTGGCCTCCCAAAGTGCTAGGATTACAAGCGTGAGCCACCCCACCTGGCTGACTCCATCTCAAAAAAAAAAAGGCAAATGAAAATACGTAATGTTTACATAGATACAGCTCCTAATGATCCTATAGATACATAGCTATATCTATGTAAACATTCTAAGTGTATCCTGGCTCCTCCATCTCTGCTTCCAGTCCCATCCCGCTTCAGGTGGAGCCAGTTCCGGTATCTGCTAACTATGCTCAGGGGAAAGGTCCCACTCATCAAGACACCTCTCCAAAGGAACTATATTATCAAACGTAATATCAACCTTTTTCTCCTAGGATTCATCATTCATGGCAATCTTTAAATCTAAGAAGTCGTATTAGTTCCCTGCCCAAAATCATCAGCTCAAGCTACACTGGCCTCTTTGCTGCTCCTTGAATACACCAGACACACATCCTGCTGCTAAGACTGTTCCCTCTGCCCAGAGCATTCTTCTCTTAGACATCCACTGCCTCATCTCCTTCAAGTCCACTCAGATGTCACCATCTCAGTAAGGATAAGGCTTGCCCTGACCACATCATTTTAAATTGCACCCCTACTACAAGGCCCCCACCTCCTCACTCAATCCCCCTTATGTTTCTCCACCTTTTTTCCCTCTTGAGATACTACTGCCTCCTAGGATACCATACAATTTACTTATTTACTGAGTTCTTCTGTCTGCTCTCTGTAGAATGTAAGCTCCTTAAGAGCAGAGTCCTTTCTCATTTTGTTCACTAAAGTATCCCAACTGCCTAGAAAAGTGCCTGACACATCATAGGGCTCAATGACTATCAAATGAATGAGTAGATGAATGAATGATGAATGGATGAATGAGTTATAAGGCCAAAAAGAAAAAAGTCCAAACTCCTTCCATTCTCCTCTACCCACTGCCAGCAGCCCACAGCTGATGTTACACAAAACAATGCTTTAATGAATATGCACCCATCTTCTTGCCTCCCAACTCCCCTGACCCACCAAGTCAATCAGCTCTCCCCTCTCCCCTTTTGTTTCGTTTTGTTTTTTTGAGATGGAGTCTCACTCTGTTGCCCAGGCTGGAGTGCAGTGATTGGATCTCAGTTCACTGCAACCTCTGCCTCCCAGATTCAAGCGATTCTCCTGCCTCAGCCTCCCAAATAGGGATTACAGGTGCCTGTCATCATGGTCGGCTAATTTTTGTATTTTCAGTAGAGACAGTTTTTCACCATGTTGGCCAGCCTGGTCTCGAACTCCTGACCTCAAGTGATCCGCCTGGCTTGGCCTCCCAAATTGCTGGGATTACAGTCCCCTTTTGTTTTCACCTGCTTAGTTTCTGTTCCTATTCAAAGGTGACAGCTCCACTGACTCCTTCCCACTGGCAGAATGTCCTGGCTCCTCTCTTAACTCCCAGCAGCCTCTGGACCTCATCAACAACACTTGGCACCAGCTCTCATGCTCTACTTGTGCAGGAGACTGTCTGCTCCCACTAAATTAACTTGCCAGTTAAGTAGTCATAGGACTCATTATTCATCTTTGTATTCTCCTGAGGGCGATGCTCAGAGAAGGGGAATCACTGCTAAAGGGAAATTTCTGCCTGAAAAGCCCCATTTAGGACCAGTGTTTGTTCTGTCCTTCATCTCCGGTTATCATCTGCACCCTGAGTTAAATAACCCACATGGACATCAGGCCATTCCATGAGAAAGCAACTGAGCCAGAGTGCTTAGGGAATACACTTTGAAAAGTAAAGTTTAGAGTGGTCCTTAAAATTCACTGCTCAGATATGAATCCACTTTTGCCACTAAAAAGGTATCCTCCCATTATGGAAAAGACCAGAATCCCTGATGAGGTGTTAAGTCATCTAATTCTCACAGCCTATGGAAGACACTTTAAAGGAGATAATAATCATGATATGCTCTGGCTCTCCTCAGATCAAATAACTGTCTTGTTTTAGTAATGCAAGGTGTCTTACTCCTTAAGGCGCATCCCTATAAAACAGAAACATATAATAAGAAATTTACATATAAAGGCAGCCCACTGTGGTGGTAGCTCATGCCTGTCATCCCAAAACTTTGGGACGCTGAAGCGAGCAGATCATTTAGCTCAGGAGTTCAGGACCAGCCTGGTGAACCCCATCTTTACAAAAAATACAAAAATTAGGCCGGGCGTGGTGGCTCATAACTGTAATCCCAGCACTTTGGGAAGCCGAGGTGGGCAGATCACTTGAGGTCAGGAGTTGGAGACCAGCCTGGCCGACATGGTAAAACTCTGACTCTACTAAAATACAAAATTAGCCAGGTGCGGTGGGTGTGCCTATAATCCCAGTTACTAGGGAGGCTGAGGTAGGAGAATCACTTGAACCCAGGAGGTGGAGGTTGCAGTGAGCTGAGATCATGCCACTGCACTTCAGCCTGGACAACAGAATGAGACTGTGTCTCAAAAAATAAAATAGAATAAACAAAAAATACGAAAATTAGCTGGGCATGGTGGCGTGTACCTGTAGTCCCAGCTATTCAGGAGGCTGAGGCAGGAGATTGCTTGAGCCCAGGTGGCAGAGGTTGCAGTGTGCCAAGATCATGCCACTGTACTCCAGCCTGGGTGACAAAGAGAGACCTTATCTTAAAAACAAAAACAAAAAACCATGATGTATAGTATGCTTAATTTACTGTAAACTGCTTTTAAAGGACATTACTAAGTTGGTAGTTTTTTTGTTGTTGTTGTTGTTGTTTTTTGAGACAGAGTCTCAAATTCCCGGGCTTAAACAATCCTATTGCCTCAGCTTCCCAAAGTGCCAGAATTACAGGTGTAAGCCACTGTACCTAGCAACCTGGTATTTTTATTTGGATTGATCTTGATGTCTCACACACCTAGCAACTACAATCGGTCATTTTTCCTTAATCCTAAAGAGTGTAGATTCAAATATTCAGATACCATCTGGATCTTGATGTATTTTCACCGATATGTAAATCAATGTAAATCAACCTTAGAGTTGTGATGCTTCTAGAAAATGGCCCCTTCTGCCACAAGAATAAATGGGTTCCCGAATCAGCCTCATATTAATTAAGGTGAAGGCTGGACTTCTGGGGGGAGGTGGTGTGCTCAATTACATTTTTGTTAAAGCAGAAATGGACACAAAAAGCTCTGGGAAAATCAGCTCTGGTTTTGTTTTTGGTTTTTATTTTGTTTTGTTTTTGCCTCCTTGCTGAAGAAAGCCCATCTCCAGCTTCTTCCTAGACATGTTCTGACCAGGCTTCTACAGCCCCTCACGGACTCTCTTAAGAGCCCTGAGTCAGAAGCTGGGGCTCCTCTCTCCTCACTCGCCGACAGTCACTTCCTCCTCTACAGTGTTCCATCCTGTCACCCCACTCTCTCTCCATTCCATATTGCTGAGTTCAAAAAACTGGTGTAGCACTCCGGATTCTCAAAACAGATACTTCCTAACGCATCCAATCTCAACTCCTCTCACAAGATCGCACCACACTCACCCCCCAGACCCCACAGCGCAGCCTGCCCCTTGGGAATCCCGTTCCCCGAAGACTGGGGTTTTGCAAGGCTAGGAGGCTCCGAGGGGGCGATACAGCTAAGCAAGGGAGCTGCCAGGCGGAGAACAATGACTGCTCCAAACACCCTCGGGGATGGGATGGATGGATGGGATGCCCAGGCAGTTAGAAACGCGTTGCTCACCTGGGGCGCGGCCGTCGGAGGCCTCGGGGCCATTCCTGCCTCGCCAGGGCCCGGCTTCGGGGCAGGAGCTGGGGAGAGAGGACAGGGCCCACTCACGCGGCTGCAACACCAACCCCACCCTACCCCGCCCCGCCTCCGCCCCTAAGCCACATCCCTAGCGGAGACGCAGGCGAGGACCGCGGACCCCGCCCGGGCCTGCAGCTCCCCATCCCCGAAACGAAAGGCGCAGCGGCCTCCCGGACACCCCCCTCCAGCCACGCCCAATCCCCTTCGCAGGGTGGTGGGCGAGGCCCGGCTGACACCCCCCAAACCCAGAAGGGGTGCCGCCCCGACCCGCGCACTCGGAATCACCGCCTCTCGGAGGGGGGGGCTCCGGATTTCACGACCTCCGGCCCACCCAGAGCCTCGGGCCAGCTCCTCCCGCCCCCGCCGCAGGCTCGGTTATCTCCAAATCTGATCTGCGGAGGGGCTGCCCGAAGGGGCCTCAGCTGCACGGGGGCCTGACAATGGCCGCAGCAGCAGGGCAAAGCCAGAAGTGCGCCTGCGCACGCGGTGCCTCGCTCCCGCAATCTCCGGGCCGCCTACGGCGCGCGAACTACACTTCCCAGAGGCCCCCGCGTGCGGGCCCCCGCAGAGGCGGCCTTCCAAGGCGAGTTAGGGACCCCTGCGAAGGTCGAGCGAGGCGGCCGGCGATGCTGAAGTGTGCGTGTGTCCATGTATTCCACAGTCACTGTGAGCCTCCTCTGTGCAGTGGGCTTGTTGCTAGCCGGGGAAGTGGGAAAGACCCTGCTTTCGGGGAGCAAGCGTATGACCCTTTGGACAAGGCTGACTATAAAAATGCAAACATATCCACAAGATAATGGTCCTGACTTATGCTGTAAGAGTGACACAGCAAGGGAGTGAGGCAGCGTCAGAGCGCGGGGCACTTGCAACTTCATCAAAAGGTAATTTCCATTTCTCATTTCAGAGAAAAGAGAAACTTCGAATAAATCCTTGGCCTCCTGAACAGTGTGCAAAGGCAGGCTGTGCTACTGCCGCGTTATTTCATTATTTGGTAGCCCCTTGTGCAGGATTTTGTGTTTGGGACAAGCCAACAGTGATGGAAATTTTCAACACAAAGATAGGTCAACTTTTAGATACAGCTTTAGGTTTATGTAATTATGTCTTATATATGACAGATATTCAGTCTACATTTCCTAGATTTCGGTTTGATTTCTTAACATTAGAGCATTGCATACCAACATGGTAGAAAATGACTGCAACAAAATGTTCCTGATGTCACACTGCTTTATCAAAGGTATGAACATTCAAAAATAAATGCTTTATGCCGGGCGCGGTGACTCATGCCTGTAATCCCAGCACTTTGGGAGGCTGAGGAAAGAGGAGCCCAGGAGTTAAAGACCAGCTTGGGCAACATGGCAAAACCCTGTCTCTACAAAAAATACAAACATTAACTGGTTGCAGTAGCAGGCACCTATGGTCGCAGCTACTTGGGGGCTGAGGTGGGAGGATCGTTTGAACCCGGAGCAGAGGTTGAGGTGGGATGTGATTGCACTGCAGCACTCCAGCCTGGGTGACAAAGCAAGACTCTGTCTCAAAAAAATAAATATAAAAATTAATGAATGCTTTCTATCACTGCTCTGTAGTCTGGGAGGCCTCTCTGAGGCAAGTGACTTAGTAGTTGCGACTTAAGAAGGCAACTGTGGGCCCAGCATGGTGGCTCATGCCTGTAATCCTACCACTTTGGGAGGCTGAGGTGGGTGGATCACCTGAGGTCAGGAGTTCAAGACCAGGCTGGCCAACATGGAGAAACCCTGCATGTACTAAAAATACAAAAATTAGCCAGGTGTGGTGGCCTTCCCCTGTAGTCACAGCTACTTGGGAGGCTGTAGCAGGAAAATCACTTGAACGTGGTAGGCAGAGGTTGCAGTGAGCTGCGATCACACCACTGCACTCCAGCCTGGGAGACAGATGGAGACTCTGTCTCAAAAAAAAAAAAAAAAAAAAAAAAAAAAAAAGGAGCTGCAGGTGCATAAGGGGGAAAGAATTACAGGCTGAAGGAACTGGAGGTGAAAAAGCTCTCAGGTGGGAACAAGCTTGGTGTGCTTAGAAACAGATGCCTAATGTATCTTAGCAGAGTGAGGGATAAGAGAGTGAGCAGGGCAGTGGTAGGGAAGGGAAGGTGGACTGGGGTTTGATGGAGCAAGGCTTTGGAGGTCGTGATGAGGGGTATAGATTTTACTCTGAGTGTGATGAGAGCCATTGGCTTAGTAACAGCAGTAGAGTCACTTATTACTATGAGAGAATAAAAGGAATTTTTCCTGTTGTCTCAGAATAGGTAACCAGGACTCAGAGTGAGTTGAGGATTAAGTTCTGCATTCTAAGGAAAGATGAAAACATTTGGGGTGAGAAATTCTCAGGTCTTAACAAAGAGGGCTAGGTGCTCAATTCTGAATTTGCCCTATTATTATTAACCATTGCCTCAATCCCACCCCTCTTTCCCAGGCTATATAAGAGTATGATCAGAAAGAAAAGGAAAAATCCCTACCCAGGCACGGTGGGTCACACTTGTAATTCCAACACTTTGGGAGGCTGAGGAGGGAGGATCACTTGAGCCCAGGAGTTCCAGACCATCCTGGGCAACATAGCAAGACCTTGTTTCTACAAAAAAAAAAAAACAAAAAAAAAACCAGACATGGTGGCGTGCCTGTAGTCCCCAGCTACTGGGGAGGCTGAGGTGGGAGGATCAGCTTGAGCTAGGGGAGGCTGAGGATGCAGTGAGCTGAGATCGTGCCACTGCCCTCCAGCCTGGGTGACAGAGCAAGACCCTCTCTCAAAACAAAGAAAAGAATTCCTCGGAAGAGCAAGCCTTCCACCTAGTGCAGAAGGCAGTGTTCACTCCCACTCCCACCTGAAGACGAATGTGAGAAAGGGAGGCACTCAAACATTGAGCCTACCCAGGAGAGAGGGGTTTTAAAAACTGCCCTATTACCTCTAAGAGAAAAGGAAAGAGAACAATGCTGTTCGTAAGGAAAGCAACCTGAATTTCCGCTGTTTATATAGAAAGTGGATGTACTAGAAAATAATTGGGCTTTAGCCCCCAGGGGAGAGGTATGCAGTTCACAACAGTAAGAGACTGCGGAATTAACTGGGTGTGAGAGGAGCTCACACCCAGTTGAAGATGGAAGAAAGCTGAAGCAGAGCTGGGTCTTCCAAGTCAGGTATCTATTGGTTTCCCCTAAGGAACTCACCAGATGCACTTCTGCTTCTGGGAGTGTGGCTCAGCAACTTTAATGCTGGATAAAATATTTTTAAAATCTTTTAAAATGTACTGATGAGCTAGAAAATTGGTAAGGAATACAGAAAGGCCAAAAACAAAACAAAATGAATAACTTAGAGTAGTAGGCAGAACACAGAACACTAGCTTTCATCTGGGAATCATTTGCCAAATGAGGCAAACTTGAGCTTTTTCTTTTTTTTTTTTTCTTCAGTCTCTGTAGAGACTGTCAAAAATTAAATTGCCAATGCCGAGTATATTTCAAGTCATTATGGCAGCGTATTCAGAAAAGTTTTCAATCAGCAATAATTGCGCCTCAGATAAACCTCACTGGTTACGATACTGCCATTGCATGAAGCTAAGAGCTTTGTTTTTCATAGTCCTGTAGGATGAGAGCCACGTGACAAAACCCAGACCCCATACAAAGTAGAGTATCTAATAGGAGATACTCCCCATGCTGCAATAAAAATTGGAACTCCATGGATGAATACTCCCATGGTAGAGACTGCAAGGTAAATTACCTTTTTCAAACTTTAACAATGAGTAGGGGGGCTCGTCATGGTGGATGTCTTCCCTGAGAATTTATAACCACCAGCTGGTTCCTATGTGGAATTACAGCCTGTATTCACAGTCCCTGAGTGGTCCAAAAACCTGCAAGCTGAGAATGTAGTTTAAATTGGTTCTTGGCTAACAGTGCTTCCAGGCATCTGGAAGAATCAAACATAAATCCAGTCTGGGAGGACTTACCTTCAGTTCAGGCTTCAAAGGACTTCCCCACATATAATCCCAAGAAATAGGAGCTCATAGTCATGAATCACAAACACAAAGCACATATAGAAAACATGGAACCATGAATGACAGGAAAAAAATAGTATAATAATATTTATAACAACCTCAAATATACAGAGTTGTCTGACACAGAATTTATAATACTATGTCTAATATGTTCCAAAAATCTATTTCAATAAACTAAATTTATTCATATGTCCATATGAATAAACCAAACTTTATTCATATGGACATATTAATAAAGAACAAGACTCTAAAATCTTAAGAATCAAATAGAATGTTAAAAATGAAAATCTTTAAGTTAAAAATGTAATGCACAAGGTTAACAATAGATTAGATGCAGCTGAAGAGAAAATTAGTGAATAGAAGGTCAATCTAGGAAATTATCCACAAATAGAGATGAAAAAAAAAAAAAAAAAAAAAAAAAAAAAAAAAAAAAAAAAAAAAAAGGAAAAGCAGAGAGCTATAACACATCTAATCTGGATTCCAGAAGAAGAAAAGAAGAGAATTGAGGCAATATTTGAAAAGATAAAGGCTGAAAATTTCCAGAACTGACAAAAGATATAAATTTAAAGATTCTGGAATCCTGACACTCCAAGCCAGATAAATAAATAAATTTACACTGAGACACATCCTAGTGAAACTGTAGAACACCCAAGAAGATCTTTAAAAACCTAGAGAGGGCTGGGCACAGTGGGTCACACCTATAATCCCAGCACTTTGGGGGGCTGAGGCGGACGGATCATGAGGTCAGGAAATCGAGACCATCCTGACTAACATGGTGAAATCCTGTCTCTGCTAAAAATACAAAAAATTATCCAGGTGTGGTGGCACGCTCCTGTAGTCCCAGCTACTCAGGAGGCTGAGGCAGGAGAATCGCTTGAACCCGAGGCAGAGGTTGCAGTGACCTGAGATCGCGCCACTGCACTCCAGCCTGTGTGACAGAGCAAGACTGTCTCAAAAAGGAAAAAAAAAAAACCTAGAGAGAAAAAATAGATTACCTTTGAAGGAACGAAAATTAGAAGATGGCTAGCCAGGCATGGTGGCTCCCAGCTACTCAGGAGACTGAGGCAGAGGATGGCTTGAACCTGGGAGGTGGAGGTTGCGGCAAGCCAAGATTGCACCATTGTACTCCAGCCTGGGCAACAGAGCAGGACTCTGTCTCAAAATAACACCAACAATGACAACAACAACAAAAGCAAAATTAGAAGATGGCAACAATGGGAGATAGTTGGAATTGTATCTTCATGAATGAGGATTAATAAAGGCATTTTTGGAAAAAAAAAAAAACAATGTCATCAACAGAGACTCATTAAAGTTGAGTGTCTTTCAAATGGAAGGAAAATGATTCCCTATGGAAAGTCATATATAGACAAAGAAACAGTGAACAAAGAAAGTGGGAAATGTGTAAATCTAAATTAAAATTAACTGTATAAAACAATTATGTCTTGTGGGTTTAAAAAAAGATAAAAC